GACTGTCTCTTCAGACTTGGTCTCTTAGGATCATCCACAGGTACCTATACTGTAGATAGGTCTTAGTCATCAGATCTACTCCACTTCCTTGTTGCCTGCTTAGACTCTTGGCACTCTTAGGTGAGCAGACTTAGTCAGCCTGTGTTGCCCTAACACCTTTGGACAGAGGATTTCACTGATAGCTGTCATAGTATGATATCTAAGGCAGCACTGCTGCATGGTCTAGACAGAACAGCAAGCCACTTCCGGTGATGGCATTCTTTGTTTACTGGGAAGAAGTGGATGTGCACAGCATAAGTGAGTTCTCATCTCAAGCAGTGAAGGCATGTCTTGGTGCAATGTCTCTGAATGATCACAAAGTAAGTTTCTCTGGATCCCTAACCCTCAGAGAAGGCTAATATCCCATAGTGGAAGGAATTCAAGTGGATGGACATTGCCATTGCATATCAAGGTGTAAGCTGGATGACTGGAAACAGCCCATGGCAGGAGATCAAGAACCGGGATGACCTCACTATGATGAGAGCAGTGGTGTCCAATGAAATATAGGCAATGTGGAAAAGGCAAGTCAATACATCATGTAGAAAGCTTCAGGACTGATTGTAGACTAGTCATAGACACAATTTCCATATCATTTGCATCATTGACATGCATTCAGAAACAAGCAAGGGTGAGTGGCAACTTGCTCTTCCAGGGATGGACAGTATCTGGGGCACATTGGAAGATGTAAGCAGGGTACTAAGACCAGGTAGATTCATACTGACTGTTAAAATAGATGAGAAAATTCTTGTTCTTGAAGGACAACCCTCAGATGATATGCTCCAGCAGTTTGCTCATGCTCATTACATGTGCAGCTGGGATACAGAAAGGAGGGGGAAGTATCAAGAAAGTGAGGTAAGCCTTATATCACAGTAAGGCATCCATTTTTGTTAACCAAAAAAAACAGTGGGGCCTGGCACAACACAATTACCTTCACAGCAGCAAAGGTTGATCCACAGCATGTGACAGAGCTGTTCCTCCTTCTGTTCATCTGTCATTGCTTCATGGAGAACAGAGACCTCAAGGATGCAGTGATGCATGCCTACAACAAGGAATTCTGTGTGGAAGAGGGCTACAATGTGTACTGGTTTGGAAATGAGGGCAAGACAATTTGAATTACAGCTGGGAGCCCCCAGAAGAACTGGAATGACAATCTGCTGGATCAGCACTGCAAGGCATGCCACTGCATCATGCAGTGGAAACAAGCTCAGAAGGGAAAGGGGGCCAATCATGGCCAGCACTTCTGCTACACCAGGAAAGACTGCAAGAAGAGTCAAGTCAATCTTTGATTCAAAAATGGCCAGAATGGTGTTTGGGCAGCTTACCCTAATGTGCAAGATCCCAAGTGGTGCATACTCAAGATTGAAGTAGATTTTGATGGAAAGCATCCTTGCCTTTGCCCCCCTCCTACCCAAGATGTCTTGTGGACTGAAGATAAGGCAAGTGTGGAGAGTGAGAGTGATTCTGCATTGACATCTGCCCCACCTGCACTGAGCCCATCAATGCCTTCCACAAGTAGACTGAGCTCCCCCAAAGTCAGTGTTATTGTGATTGACTCCAATGATGAGCCCCCTGCAAGAAAGACTTTTGGGGATGAAGATTATGACTGCAACCATGCATCCCCAAGCCTGGGGGAGGAGGAAGATGAAGAAGTTATCCTCAAGGAGATTGCTGTGGACCTGAGGCAGCATGCAGCTTCTATGAGCACCACAGGCATTGATTCCAGGGATCTGAAGGGAAGGGGAAGGGGAAGGTAAAAGGATGCAAGCATGCTCCTCTCTCTCCATAGAGCTCAGAGAGACATGGAAGAAGAGTAAGACTGACACAGGATCTCACTGGAAAGGCCCTGCAGCAAAGCCTCAGCCTCCTCCATTGAAGATCCACCCAAAGGTCTGATGCTCAGAAAATTGGATAGAAGTACTTAGTCTGGCCCATAGTGAATACCTGCTATAGTTCTCTTTTTGTCCTTAATACAACAGCTGGTTCTGCAATG